GGAAATGTGTTTGAATCCCTCGGCGAACGTCAGAAGGCTAAAGAACATCACGAGAAAGCACTTGACATCGCGATAGAAATTACCGACAGAGAAGGAGAAGGAACAATTAACGGGAACCTCGGAGACGTGTTTTATTCCCTTGGCGAATATCAGAAGGCTAAAGAATATTACGAGAAAGCACTTGACATCGCGATAGAAATTGGCGACAGACTAGGAGAAGGAAGAAGAAACGGGAACCTCGGAACTGTGTTTCGTTCCCTTGGCGAATATCAGAAGGCTAAAGAATATTACGTGAAAGCACTTGACATCGCGATAGAAATTGGCGACAGACAAGGAGAAGTAACAGTTAACGAGAACCTCGGAAATGTGTTTTATTCCCTTGGCGAATATCAGAAGGCTAATGAATATCACGAGAAAGCACTTGACATCGGGATAGAAATTGGCGACAGACTAGGAGAAGGAAGAGTTAACGGGAACCTCGGAAATGTGTTTGAATCCCTTGGCGAATATCAGAAGACTAAAGAATATTACGTAAAAGCACTTGACATCGCGATAGAAATTGGCGACAGCAAAGGAGAAAGAGCAATGAACGGGAACCTCGGAAATGTTTTTTATTTCCTTGGCGAATATCAGAAGGCTAAAGAATATTACGTGAAAGCACTTGACATGGCGATAGAAATTGGCGACAGCAAAGAAGAAGGAACAATTAAAGGGAACCTCGGAAATGTGTTTTCTTCCCTTGCCGAATATCAGAAGGCTAAAGAATATCACGAGAAAGCTCTTGACATCGCGATAGAATTTGGCGACAGACAAGAAGAATGAACAGTTAACGGGAACCTCGGAGATGTGTTTTCTTCCCTTGGCGAATATCAGAAGGCTAAAGAATATCACGAGAAAGCACTTGACATCGCAATAGAAATTGGCGACAGACAAGGAGAAGGAAGTGAAAGTGAACACTCTTGATGCTGAGCAAGTTTGCGATGTGGAAGGAATTCTTAAAAAAACCACCATCGGCTTCGGCGTTTTACCCGCAGCGAACTGCGAAGACCGATCCTTGGATGACAACGTGACGACATCTCTTCGTGAAGAGAGCCGAGCAAACTTGCGAGGTGACGAAACCAAAGATACCGAAAGAATTCATCACTTGTGCTACCAATGGATCGTCGCACCCGTGGTACACTTACTTACAGAGCCTGAAATCATCATTGTGCCGGATCGAAAGAGAAACCGAGTCCCATTT